GTGTACACGCGTGTGTGTGTATATGTGTACACGCGTGTGTGTATGTACACGTGTACACGCGTGTGTATGTATATGTGTACACGCGTGTGTATGTACATGTGTGCACGCGTGTGTATGTATACCTGTACACGCGTGTGTGTGTACATGTGTACACGCGTGTGTGTGTACATGTGTACACGCCTGTGTATGTACATGTGTACACGCGTGTGTGTATGTACACGTGTGTACGCGTGTGTATGTACACGTGTACACGCGCGTGTGTATGTATACGTGTACACGTGTGTGTATGTATACGTGTACACGCGTGTGTATGTACATGTGTACACGCGTGTGTATGTATATGTGTACTCGCGTGTGTATGTACATGTGTGCACGCGTGTGTATGTATATGTGTACACGCGTGTGTATGTATACGTGTACACGCGTGTGTGTGTATATGTGTACACGTGTGTGTATGTATATGTGTACACGCATGTGTATGTATATGTGTGCACCCGTGTGTATGTATATGTGTGCACCCGTGTGTATGTACATGTGTACACGCGTGTGTATGTATACGTGTACACGCGTGTGTATGTACATGTGTGCACGCGTGTGTATGTACATGTGTACACGCGTGTGTGTATGTATACGTGTACACGCGCGTGTATGTATACGTGTACACGCGTGTGTGTGTACATGTGTGCACGCGTGTGTATGTATATGTGTACACGCGTGTGTATGTATACGTGTACACGCGTGTGTGTGTATACGTGTACACGCGCGTGTATGTACATGTGTGCACGCGTGTGTATGTATATGTGTGCACATGCGTGTATGTATATGTGTACACGCCCGTGTATGTACATGTGTACACGCGCGTGTATGTACATGTGTACACGCGTGTGTGTATGTATACGTGTACACGCGTGTGTATGTATATGTGTACACGCGTGTGTATGTATATGTGTGCACGCGTGTGTATGTATATGTGTGCACGCGTGTGTATGTATATGTGTGCACGCGTGTGTATGTATACGTGTGCACGCGTGTGTATGTATATGTGTACACGTGTGTGTGTATGTATACGTGTACACGCGTGTGTGTATGTATACGTGTACACGCGTGTGTATGTATATGTGTGCACTCGTGTGTATGTACATGTGTGCACGCGTGTGTGTATATGTGTGCACGCGTGTGTGTATGTATATGTGTACACGCGTGTGTATGTACATGTGTGCACGCGTGTGTATGTATATGTGTACACTCGTGTGTATGTACATGTGTGCACGCGTGTGTGTATGTATACGTGTACACGCGTGCGTATGTATATGTGTACACGCGTGTGTATGTATATGTGTGCACGCGTGTGTATGTATATGTGTGCACGCGTGTGTATGTATATGTGTGCACGCGTGTGTATGTATACGTGTGCACGCGTGTGTATGTATATGTGTACACGCGTGTGTGTATGTATACGTGTACACGCCCGTGTATGTACATGTGTACACGCGTGTGTATGTATATGTGTGCACGCGTGTGTATGTACACGTGTACACGCGCGTGTATGTATACGTGTACACGCGTGTGTATGTATACGTGTACACGCGTGTGTATGTACATGTGTACACGCGTGTGTATGTATACGTGTACACGCGTGTGTATGTACATGTGTACACGCGTGTGTGTATGTATACGTGTACACGTGTGTGTATGTATACGTGCACTCGCGTGTGTATGTATACGTGTACACTCGTGTGTATGTACATGTGTACACGCGTGTGTATGTACATGTGTGCACGCGTGTGTATGTATACGTGTACACGTGTGTGTGTATGTATACGTGTACACGCGCGTGTATGTATATGTGTACACGCGTGTGTATCTATACGTGTACACGCGTGTGTATGTATATGTGTGCACGCGTGTGTATGTATATGTGTACACGCGTGTGTGTGTATGTGTACACGCGTGTGTGTATGTATATGTGTACACGCGTGTGTATGTACATGTGTGCACGCGTGTGTATGTATACCTGTACACGCGTGTGTGTGTACATGTGTACACGCGTGTGTGTGTACATGTGTACACGCCTGTGTATGTACATGTGTACACGCGTGTGTGTATGTACACGTGTGTACGCGTGTGTATGTACACGTGTACACGCGCGTGTGTATGTATACGTGTACACGCGTGTGTATGTACATGTGTACACGCGTGTGTATGTATATGTTTACTCGCGTGTGTATGTACATGTGTGCACGCGTGTGTATGTATATGTGTACACGCGTGTGTATGTATACGTGTATACGCGTGTGTATGTACATGTGTACACGCGTGTGTGTATGTATACGTGTACACGCGTGTGTATGTATATGTGTGCACGCGTGTGTATGTATATGTGTGCACGCGTGTGTATGTATACGTGTGCACGCGTGTGTATGTATATGTGTACACGTGTGTGTGTATGTATACGTGTACACGCGTGTGTGTATGTATACGTGTACACGCGTGTGTATGTATATGTGTGCACTCGTGTGTATCTACATGTGTGCACGCGTGTGTGTGTATATGTGTGCACGCGTGTGTATGTACATGTGTGCGCGCGTGTGTATGTATACCTGTACACGCGTGTGTATGTATACGTGTACACGCGTGTGTATGTACATGTGTACACGCGTGTGTGTATGTATACGTGTACACGTGTGTGTATGTATACGTGCACTCGCGTGTGTATGTATACGTGTACACTCGTGTGTATGTACATGTGTACACGCGTGTGTATGTACATGTGTGCACGCGTGTGTATGTATACGTGTACACGTGTGTGTGTGTATGTATACGTGTACACGCGCGTGTATGTATATGTGTACACGCGTGTGTATGTATACGTGTACACGCGTGTGTATGTATATGTGTGCACGCGTGTGTATGTATATGTGTACACGCGTGTGTGTGTATGTGTACACGCGTGTGTGTATGTATATGTGTACACGCGTGTGTATGTACATGTGTGCACGCGTGTGTATGTATACCTGTACACGCGTGTGTGTGTACATGTGTACACGCGTGTGTGTGTACATGTGTACACGCCTGTGTATGTACATGTGTACACGCGTGTGTGTATGTACACGTGTGTACGCGTGTGTATGTACACGTGTACACGCGCGTGTGTATTGTATACGTGTACACGCGTGTGTATGTACACGTGTACACGCGCGTGTGTATGTACACGTGTACACGCGCGTGTGTATGTATACGTGTACACGCGTGTGTATGTACATGTGTACACGCGTGTGTATGTATATGTTTACTCGCGTGTGTATGTACATGTGTGCACGCGTGTGTATGTATATGTGTACACGCGTGTGTATGTATACGTGTACACGCGTGTGTATGTACATGTGTACACGCGTGTGTGTATGTATACGTGTACACGCGTGTGTATGTATATGTGTGCACGCGTGTGTATGTATATGTGTGCACGCGTGTGTATGTATACGTGTGTGTGTATGTATACGTGTACACGCGTGTGTGTATGTATACGTGTACACGCGTGTGTGTATGTATACGTGTACACGCGTGTGTATGTACATGTGTGCACTCGTGTGTGTGTATATGTGTGCACGCGTGTGTGTATGTATATGTGTACACGCGTGTGTATGTATATGTGTGCACGCGTGTGTATGTATATGTGTACACTCGTGTGTATGTACATGTGTGCACGCGTGTGTGTATGTATACGTGTACACGCGTGTGTATGTATATGTGTACACGCGTGTGTATGTATATATGTGTACGCGTGTGTATGTACATGTGTACACGCGTGTGTATGTACATGTGTACACGCGTGTGTGTATATGTGTACACGTGTGTACTCGCCCGTGTATGTACATGTGTGCACGCGCGTGTGTGTATGTATATGTGTACACGTGCGTGTGTACACGTGCGTGTGCTCGCAGGAGTGAAGCGCTTCCAGTGTGTGACGTGCGGGCTGGCGTGGGCGGACGCGCGCTCCCTCAAGCGTCACGTGCGCACCCACACGGGCGAGCGCCCCTACGTGTGCCCGGTGTGCCGCGGGCAGCACATCGACGCCCGCTCGCTGCGCCGCCACCTCGGGCGTGCCCACGGCGTCGCGGTCGCCAAGATCTCGCTGCAGCGCGAGACGCTGCACTGCCACAACCGGGGCACGCAGGTTCGGGGCACGTGGCGGTGGTGGCGGTGGCGGTGGTGGTGGTGGTTGTGGTGGTGGTGGTTGTGGTGGTGGTAGTGGTGGTGGTGGTGGTAGTGGTGGTGGTGGTGGTAGTGGTAGTAGTGGTGGTGGTGGTGGTAGTAGTGGTGGTGGTAGTGGTGGTGGTGGTGGTAGCGGTGGTGTTAGTGGTGGTGGTGTTAGTGGTGGTGGTGGTAGTGGTGGTAGCGGTGGTGTTAGTTGTGGTGGTAGTGGTGGTGGTGGTAGTGGTGGTAATAGTGGTAGTGGTGGTGGTAGTGGTGGTGGTGGTGGTAGTAGTGGTGGTAGTAGTGGTGGTGGTGGTAGTAGTGGTGGTGGTGGTGGTAGTAGTGGTGGTAGTAGTGGTGGTGGTGGTGGTAGTAGTGGTGGTGGTGGTAGTAGTGGTAGTGGTGGTGGTAGTAGTGGTGGTGGTGGTAGTAGTGGTAGTGGTGGTGGTAGTAGTGGTAGTGATGGTGGTAGTGGTGGTGGTGGTAGTGGTGGTGGTAGTGGTGGTGGTAGTGGTGGTGGTAGTAGTGGTAGTGGTGGTGGTAGTGGTAGTGGTGGTGGTAGTAGTGGTAGCAGTGGTAGTGGTGGTGTTGGTAGTGGTGGTAGTGGTGGTAGCAGTGGTGGTCGTGGTGGTAGTGGTTGTAGTGGTAGTAGTGGCGGTAGCAGTGGTGGTGGTGGTAGTGGTGGTAGCAGTGGTGGTGGTGGTAGTGGTGGTGGTAGTAGTGGTAGTGGTGGTCGTGGTGGTAGTAGTAGTGGTGGTGGTGGTGGTAGTAGTGGTGGTGGTAGTATTGGTGTTAGCAGTGGTGGTAGTGGTAGTAGTGGTGGTGGTAGTGGTAGTAGTGGTGGTAGTAGTGGTGGTGGTAGTGGTAGTGGTAGTAGTGGTGGTAGTAGTGGTGGTGGTGGTGGTGGCAGTAGTGGTGGTGGTAGTAGTGGTGGTAGTGGTAGTGGTGGTAGTGGTAGTAGTAGTTGTGATAGTAGTAGTGGTGGTAGTGGTGGTAGTAGTAGTGGTGGTAGTGGTAGTGGTGGTAGTAGTAGTGGTGGTAGTAGTAGTGGTAGTAGTAGTGGTGGTAGTAGTAGTGGTGGTAGTAGTAGTGGTGGTAGTAGTAGTGGTGGTAGTAGTAGTTGTGATAGTAGTAGTGGTGGTAGTGGTGGTAGTAGTAGTGGTGGTAGTGGTAGTGGTGGTAGTAGTAGTGGTGGTAGTAGTAGTAGTGGTAGTAGTAGTGGTGGTAGTAGTAGTGGTGGTAGTAGTAGTGGTGGTAGTAGTAGTGGTGCTAGTGTTAGCAGTGGGACTAGTGGTAGTGGTGGTAGTGGTGGTAGTGTTAGCAGTGGGACTAGTGGTAGTAGTAGTGGTGGTAGTAGTAGTGGTGGTAGTAGTAGTGGTGCTAGTGTTAGCAGTGGGACTAGTGGTAGTAGTAGTGGTGGTAGTAGTAGTGGTGCTAGTGTTAGCAGTGGGACTAGTGGTAGTAGTGGTAGTAGTAGTGGTTGCTAGTGTTAGCAGTGGGACTAGTCGTAGTGGTGGTAGTGGTAGTAGTGGTGGTGGTAGTAGTGGTAGTAGTGGTGGTAGTAGTGGTAGTAGTAGTAGTAGTGGTGGTAGTAGTTGTAGTGGTAGTAGTGGTGGTGGTGGTAGTAGTTGTAGTGGTAGTAGTGGTGCTAGTGTTAGCAGTGGGCCTAGTGGTAGTAGTAGTGGTGGTAGTAGTAGTGGTGCTAGTAGTAGTGGTGCTAGTATTAGCAGTGGGACTAGTGGTAGTAGTGGTAGTAGTAGTAGTGGTGCTAGTAGTAGTGGTGCTAGTGTTAGCAGTGGGACTAGTGGTAGTAGTGGTAGTAGTAGTAGTGGTGCTAGTAGTAGTGGTGCTAGTGTTAGCAGTGGGACTAGTGGTAGTAGTGGTAGTAGTAGTAGTGGTGCTAGTAGTAGTGGTGCTAGTGTTAGCAGTGGGACTAGTGGTAGTAGTAGTGGTGGTAGTAGTGGTGCTAGTAGTAGTGGTGCTAGTGTTAGCAGTGGGACTAGTGGTAGTAGTAGTGGTGCTAGTGTTAGCAGTGGGACTAGTCGTAGTAGTGGTGGTAGTAGTGGTGGTAGTAGTGGTAGTAGTAGTAGTGGTGCTAGTGTTAGCAGTGGGACTAGTGGTAGTGGTGGTGTGGCGTGCCGGCCTTCACAGGTGCTGCTACTCGCTCACAGCACTTGCCCCCTCACACCCTTCCCACCCTCCCCACCCTCCCCACCCTCCCCACCCTTCCCACCCTTCCCACCCTTCCCACCCTCCCCACCCTCCCCACCCTTCCCACCCCCTCTCCCTCCCACCCCCTCGGTCGTCCTCAGGTCCTCCACGAAGTGCAGCTCATGAGCGTCGACGACGCGGCCTCGCCCAGCGACGAAGGCGACGGCTCGCAGGTGCTCCTCGCTCACGTCGTCGTCCAATCGGAAGGGGCCGTCGCCGGCGAGGGCGTCGTCCAATCGGAAGGGGCCGTCGCCGGCGAGGGCGTCGTCCAATCGGAAGGGGCCGTCGCCGGCGAGGGCGTCGTCCAATCGGAAGGGGCCGTCGCCGGCGAGGGCGTCGTCCAATCGGATCCCGGCGCGGAGGGGGCAGCCGAGGTCGCCAATGCCACGGATTTCACCGCTGCCGCCAATGTCGTGGATTTCACCGCTGCCACCAATGACACCGACTTTACCGCAGCCACGGATTTCACCGCTGCCACCAATGCCACGGATTTCACCGCTGCCACCAATGCCACCGACTTTACCGCAGCCACCAATGCCACGGATTTCACCGCTGCCGCCAATGCCGCGGATTTCACCGCTGCCGCCGCCAACGCCGCCGGCGTGGCCGCCGGCACCACGCTCACGGTGGACCGGCGGCTTTACGCGCAGCTCCTGGGGGCAGGCGACGACAGCGGCGGCGGCGGCGGCGGCGGCTGCACCGCGCCGCGCCGCCTGGTGGTGCGGTTCCTGCAGGTGGGGCCTTCAGCCGAGGGGTCAGCCGAGGGGTCAGCCGGCGGGCCGGCGCCGGGAGGACAGGCGAGCGCCGAGGAGGAGGTGGTGGTGGTGGAGGAGGTGGAGGACGAGGAGGAGGAGGAGGAGGAGGTGGTGGTGGTGGAGGAGGTGGAGGAGGAGGAGGAGGAGGAGGAGGAGGTGGTGGTGGTGGAGGAGGTGGAGGAGGAGGAGGAGGAGGAGGAGGTGGTGGTGGTGGTGGCGGCGCAGGGAGATGCGCCGGAGGAGGAAGGGGAGGAGGCAGCGGCGGCGGTGGTGGTGGTGGGAGCGGTCAGTTGCCGGCACTTTCACCGACAGCCTGGTTGCGCGCACGTCTTTTTTTCCACTGCCGCATCTGAGCCGAGCCAGCACGGTGCCGGTGGATTATTTATTATCCCTCCCTTCCCCCTCCTTCGCGAGCCTGACGTTGTGGGATTTTTATCGGAATTCCACACCCGTCAATTGTATTGCAAAGAGCCCACTTCGTTGAGCTGTAAAATTTAAATGATAGTTTCAAGTGGAGACGCTGCTGGCCTTGCGCGACAAATCTGAGATCCGCCTGGGGGCCCAGCAGGGCCAGGGGAGGGGGCAGGGCTAAGTGGTGCGTCCGTTACACGTGACGTCGTGGATTCTCGCGAGCGCTACCCGGGAGAACTTTGTCTTTGTGTGTGGTCTTGATGGTCGCTCGACCCGTGGCACCTGCCGGGTCTGCCCCGTGACCTCCTGCCAGCGGGCGTTCGACACTTCACGTGGCCTCAACGTGCACATGGCCTGGCACAAACGTCGTGGTGACGTCACCGCCACTTAGTGGCGAATGGCGGTTGTTGTTGTGTGCGTGTGAGTGAGTGTGTGTGAGTGTGAGTTTGTGCACAGACTGCCCTATATGACATCATAACAACAGTCTGGACCACTGGACGGGTTCCGCAGGATTGGAAGGATGCCCTGGTGGTCCCCCTTTTTAAGAAGGGGGACCGCACAGACTGTAACAACTACAGGGGCATCTCACTCCTCAGTGTGCCGGGAAAGGTCCTGGCAAGGATTATTCAGCATCGCCTTGCCAGGCACGCTGAGGAGAGGCTTGCGGAGCCCCAATGCAGTTTCAGGAAAGGGCGGTCCTGCACAGATGCCATATTTTCTGTCCGTCTGCTACAGCAGAGGTGTAGGGAATTCAAACATGACCTACATCTCTGCTTTATTGACCTGGTCAAGGCCTATGATACCATCAGTAGGCCTGGGCTCTGGGTCGTTCTTCGTGCTTTTGGAGTACCTGACCCTCTGCTCACGATCATTAAGGACCTTCATGATGGTGAGCGGGCCCGGGTAAAACTACGTGGCCGGGAGTCAGAGCCATTCCCTGTACACCTTGGGGTGCGACAGGGATGTCCTCTGGCTCCCACATTATTTAACATCTATTTTGACCACGTAGTTCGTGAAGCCTTCAATAGCTGTACCGGAGGAATCTCCATATGGTACAGATATAATGGGAGGCTAATCGATGCCCGGGTGCGGTCAAGGGATGGCTCCCTATTGCTCAACCACGTTATGTATGCTGATGATTTGGTAATAGCTGCTCAGTCAGAGGAGGAGTTGGAGACGCTGCTGCTGAGACTGGAGCGTGCCACTAAGAGGTGGGGCCTTACCATCAGCCCCACCAAAACTAAGCACCTGCCTGGGTATTTTGTACCATCGGACACTCCACCACCACAACTCCCAATCGGTGATGGGGCAGTTGTGGAGAGAGTGGAGAGTTTCCCATACCTGGGCAGTGTGCTTATGACTGGCTCCAGTTTAACAGCAGAGGTCTCACTCCGAATCAGTCGAGCGGCAATATCTTTTCATCGGTTGCGTAACGCTGTGTGGAAGCTACCTGGTCTGTCGCTCCGCACTAAGCTTCAGGTCTTCTCGGCCACGGTCATTCCCTCCCTTCTCTACGCTTGCGAAACGTGGACCCCCCTAATGGACCATCTTCGCCGGTTAGAAACATTTAGGCTGGCCTGCCTACGATCCATCCTGGGTTTAACCAGACTGGATTGTGTGAGGAGCTCACAAATCCTTGAAAGATCTGGGCAGGGTCCCATCGGTGAGCTCCTCCGGCAGGCAAGGCTGCGATGGCTGGGTCATGTAGCCCGCATGCCCAGCCACCGCATGCCGAAACAGCTTTTGTTTGGCCGGATTGAGGGGGCTAAGCGGGCACGGCACGGGCTAGAGAAGAGATGGAGTGATGTGGTACAGGAGGACGTGGAGCTGAGTGGACTTGCCGATGACTGGTACCAGCGGTGTCAAGATCGGCCTCTGTGGAGGAGGCTCGTGAAGGATGCTACTGGGCAGTTGGAGGCATTCGCCCTCCAACAACAACGGAGGACGGAGGAGCGACGCTCAGAACAACGAGCGGAGCGCCGGGTGGCTAAAGCACAGCAGGTTGGCACAGTAGGGGGCACAGGTGGTGCATCAGCCAGTCGACCCGTGGCATCTGGGTCTGCCCCGTGACCTCCTGCCAGCGGGCGTTCGACACTTCACGTGGCCTCAGGGTGCACATAGCCTGGCACAAGCATCGTGGTGACGTCACCGCCACTTAGTGGCGAATGGCGGTTGTTGTTGTTGTGAGTGTGAGTGTGAGAGAGCGTGAGAGAGTGAGAGAGTGAGTGAGTGAGTGGAGTTTGTATGATCTCCCCCTGTTCTACAGAGTGAGTGGAGTTTGTATGATCTCCCCCTGTTCTACAGAGTGAGTGAGTGGAGTTTGTATGATCTCCCCCTGTTCTACAGAGTGAGTGAGTGGAGTTTTTATGATCTCCCCCTGTTCTACAGAGTGAGTGAGTGGAGTTTGTATGATCTCCCCCTGTTCTACAGAGTGAGTGAGTGGAGTTTGTATGATCTCCCCCTGTTCTACAGAGTGAGTGAGTGGAGTTTGTATGATCTCCCCCTGTTCTACAGAGTGAGTGAGTGGAGTTTGTATGATCTCCCCCTGTTCTACAGAGTGAGTGAGTGGAGTTTGTATGATCTCCCCCTGTTCTACAGAGTGAGTGAGTGGAGTTTGTATGATCTCCCCCTGTTCTACAGAGTGAGTGAGTGGAGTTTGTATGATCTCCCCCTTTTCTACAGAGTGAGTGAGTGGAGTTTGTATGATCTCCCCCTGTTCTACAGAGTGAGTGAGTGGAGTTTGTATGATCTCCCCCTGTTCTACAGAGTGAGTGAGTGGAGTTTGTATGATCTCCCCCTGTTCTACAGAGTGAGTGAGTGGAGTTTGTATGATCTCCCCCTGTTCTACAGAGTGAGTGAGTGGAGTTTGTATGATCTCCCCCTGTTCTACAGAGTGAGTGAGTGGAGTTTGTATGATCTCCCCCTGTTCTACAGAGTGAGTGAGTGGAGTTTGTATGATCTCCCCCTGTTCTACAGAGTGAGTGAGTGGAGTTTGTATGATCTCCCCCTGTTCTACAGAGTGAGTGAGTGGAGTTTGTATGATCTCCCCCTGTTCTACAGAGTGAGTGAGTGGAGTTTGTATGATCTCCCCCTGTTCTACAGAGTGAGTGAGTGGAGTTTGTATGATCTCCCCCTGTTCTACAGAGTGAGTGAGTGGAGTTTGTATGATCTCCCCCTGTTCTACAGAGTGAGTGAGTGGAGTTTGTATGATCTCCCCCTGTTCTACAGAGTGAGTGAGTGGAGTTTGTATGATCTCCCCCTGTTCTACAGAGTGAGTGAGTGGAGCTTGTATGATCTCCCCCTGTTCTGCAGAGTGAGTGAGTGGAGGTTGTATGTACTCCCCCTGTTCTACAGAGTGAGTGAGTGGAGTTTGTATGATCTCCCCCTGTTCTACAGAGTGAGTGAGTGGAGTTTGTATGATCTCCCCCTGTTCTACAGAGTGAGTGAGTGGAGTTTGTATGATCTCCCCCTGTTCTACAGAGTGAGTGAGTGGAGTTTGTATGATCTCCCCCTGTTCTACAGAGTGAGTGAGTGGCGTTTGTATGATCTCCCCCTGTTCTACAGAGTGAGTGAGTGGATTTTGTATGATCTCCCCCTGTTCTACAGAGTGAGTGAGTGGAGTTTGTATGATCTCCCCCTGTTCTACAGAGTGAGTGAGTGGAGTTTGTATGATCTCCCCCTGTTCTACAGAGTGAGTGAGTGGAGTTTGTATGATCTCCCCCTGTTCTACAGAGTGAGTGAGTGGAGTTTGTATGATCTCCCCCTGTTCTACAGAGTGAGTGAGTGGAGTTTGTATGATCTCCCCCTGTTCTACAGAGTGAGTGAGTGGAGTTTGTATGATCTCCCCCTGTTCTACAGAGTGAGTGGAGTTTGTATGATCTCCCCCTGTTCTACAGAGTGAGTGAGTGGAGTTTGTATGATCTCCCCCTGTTCTACAGAGTGAGTGAGTGGAGTTTGTATGATCTCCCCCTGTTCTACAGAGTGAGTGAGTGGAGTTTGTATGATCTCCCGCTGTTCTACAGAGTGAGTGAGTGGAGTTTGTATGATCTCCCCCTGTTCTACAGAGTGAGTGAGTGGAGTTTGTATGATCTCCCCCTGTTCTACAGAGTGAGTGAGTGGAGTTTGTATGATCTCCCCCTGTTCTACAGAGTGAGTGAGTGGAGTTTGTATGATCTCCCCCTGTTCTACAGAGTGAGTGAGTGCAGTTTGTATGATCTCCCCCTGTTCTACAGAGTGAGTGAGTGGAGTTTGTATGATCTCCCCCTGTTCTACAGAGTGAGTGAGTGGAGTTTGTATGATCTCCCCCTGTTCTACAGAGTGAGTGAGTGGAGTTTGTATGATCTCCTCCTGTTCTACAGAGTGAGTGAGTGGAGTTTGTATGATCTCCCCCTGTTCTACAGAGTGAGTGAGTGGAGTTTGTATGATCTCCCCCTGTTCTACAGAGTGAGTGAGTGGAGTTTGTATGATCTCCCCCTGTTCTACAGAGTGAGTGAGTGGAGTTTGTATGATCTCCCCCTGTTCTACAGAGTGAGTGAGTGGAGTTTGTATGATCTCCCCCTGTTCTACAGAGTGAGTGAGTGGAGTTTGTATGATCTCCCCCTGTTCTACAGAGTGAGTGAGTGGAGTTTGTATGATCTCCCCCTGTTCTACAGAGTGAGTGA